ACGACCTTTGTATAATTTACGTACAAAGCACTGGCATCGTCATGCGCAATAATTTTATGAACACTTCCACTGAAATCAATTAAAATTTCATTATCGATACTTCTTGTGTGGTAAATGTTATCCCGCCATATGATATTAAGTGTTTCCATATCTATGCAAAAAGAAATCAACCACTATGAAAATTAAAAAAATCAATTAGGAAAAGCTTTTACTTTTACACAATCTATTAAAATAAGATATAAAGACTATACCTTAGCGATTTTGATGTAAATATGTTCATCTACTTTATCCAAGTAAGGCACGACTAAATTAGGCCATTCTTTTAACAAGCGAGATATGCGGTCTTTATTATAATGAGCACCAATAAATCCATCGACAAAAGTGTATCTTGGATCAAGGATCTGTGCCACCCGAAAGATTCTAAGCCATTCAAATGATATTATTACGATGGCATTATGACGAACTAAGGCTGATACAACCGGAACCATTATTTGTTGAATATCAGATGTGAATGTGTCTTGTTGTACATATTCGAGCGCTTCGAGTAACAGATCAGACCGAAAATTTGTTGGCAATTGAAAAATGAGAGAGCGCAGATCCTTACAGTGTTTAATATAATATCCTAAGAGAACGCACAAAAAAAGTCGGTTTTCAATTTTTTTATCGTGACAGTGATGTGCTATAAAATCGATAGTAAGGAATTTCAATGCGATTTGTCTATAATTTTTCAACAATATTTGGAATTGCATAAACTTGACTTTAAGATTTTCAATATTTACTGCATCGTAAATGCATTTAATGAACGCAAATTCTCTAAGGTCGAAGATATTATGGTTACGATTGTTTCGCCATATGTCGTATTGATCATTTGTTCTTGTGTCTAAAGTGCGATTTTGCATCTCATCTTCCCCTTCAAAGTCCACATTCCGATTAGAAAAGATACCATACCTATACTTAATCTCATTCCCTCCTATCTGTATTTCTACAGGGTGTGATCGCCAATAAGTTGGAAATTCTCGTTTATGTGGTTGTGTTAATTGAATTGTAATATTTGTCCAACCCCCTAACTCTTTACAATTACCCACTATCACAGGTTCGCCATATCTTTAAATGTATTGAGGTAAATGCACATGAAATGTAACTTTAACATATTCTCCATATGCTGAATGTTTGTCCTCATCTTTAGAATCAGGTTCGTGCAATTGGTAATCGTCGGCATCAACGTATTCAGAAGAATCTGAAATGGCCGGACTATTAATCCTTGTTGGTACTTTTTTAACCTTATTCGAATGATCATAACTCAAAGTACTTTGATAAACTGAGTCCATTTGTATAGAATTCAATTTATGACGGATTTCAGCTATGCTAGGACGTAAATTTGGATCACTGTTCCAAGCATCACAATAAATTTTCATAAAGTCAACTGGAGTTCCATTAATAGGCTTTTCTCTTTTACCACTAATTATAGATGAAGTTATTTCCGTTTGATCGGATACATTTTTAAAAGGAGGTACACCACTTGATAGTTCCCAGAAAAGTACACCGAGACTATAGATATCAGAAGGTTTTTCTCGGTTATATTTGAATGGGTTATTGAGATATTGTGGATCGGTAAATGCACATGTTCCACCATTAATGCTATACTCTAATGATTTAGATAAGCCAAAATCCGTAATCATTATTCTACCATCATGAATTAATATATTCCTATCATGCTATAATTCTATTAATATATATGCAATACAAATGAGAAAATGAATTAAATAGAAAAAGCTTCTTACAAGATTACGATGAACAATATTTGCATTATGTAAACAATTAATTCCGTTAGAAAGTTCTTTTGCCATTTTTATTTTAACTGTCCAATCTAATTCAGAAAAATGTTTATATAAATAATTACGAAGGTTACCTTCGTTGGCGAATTGAAGAACCATATAATATATTTCAGTTTTTGGATCTGATTTGTATAAAATTCATTAATTAATAACTATAATACAGTATCAGCTATTGGTAAATATTATTCTTCTATGTATAAATTGAATATTATATACCTTGAGTAATTCCAAAGAATACTATAATATTATCATGATATGCAACTCTAGTAATATTCTTAATCTTATTGCATATATAATAACACCATCAAATATAAATAAAATTAAATAGGGTAAAAAAGAAATTTTAACGTACAGTATAAAAATTATTAATACCTCAGTTGAAATATCGTTATTATCATAATATAAACCCTTTAAAGCTATATTTTTTTCGATATCTTTTGAATATGCACTATATACGATGCAGGACCCTCCACTATCAATCGGTATGCAGTTCTGAAAATATTCATACTTAAAGAATATAATATAATTTTGCTCAATAGCGACTTTAAACCAATTTGACATGTTTATTTGCAGTACGTATAATTTTTTTGTATTCTTAAGAAGACTTGGAGATATAAATAATTATTACTACTACATATATCTGTATTTCACAAACATACGTACACAGTAGAACTATAAACCTTTTCTACAAGTATTCTTTCAAAATCTTTGGTGTACTATGCAACTTTTCTAGATACTTTCTAAACCTTCTCCGTGCCTATTCCAAATGTAATTCAAAATGTTAGAAATTGATTAGAAAATGCTTGGAAAATTTGTATAGTACACTAAAGGTTTTTAGAATACTTGTAGAAAATATACCTGTGGTACGTAGGACTAGTGATGCGTAGTTTCAATGAAGGTTATTCGATAAAGTAGTACCGTACGATACGTACAGTACGTACGTACATACATTAATATTAAATTTTGATCTATGCACGTACTGTACGTACGTTAACAAACTTATAAAATTTGCAATCCTTTTGAGTATATAGTAAATTTAGTACGGAAATATATTTTACTCATACACATGTATAGTATTGTACATAATACGTATATTAGAGATTGAATTTTCAATTTATAAAGTCAAGTTTTTCTATTATAAAACCAGAATACTAGGACTTAATTTTAACGTTTTATATGACCGATGCTAGGGTGAATGTTTTTATTATCTTATAGTTTGATATTTGTTCTTTATGGTAATGTTATAATCGAAGGTCGTGTAGAACTCCCGATATAACATTCGACATCACGATTTAATCATGCCAATGTTACATCAATGCAAACTAATTAACCACATTGACACTGTCGGAGGTTATTAGCGTTACCTCCGCTTAAAATAGCGCGACAGCGTCGCTTCCGAATTCAAGACGCAGAGTAACGTAACACTACTTAAAGAGAGACGAATACTAGCGCCCTAGCGTTACCAACCTAAAAAAATTTCGCTACTGGCATTAGGGTTAGGGTTTGGGTTTATTTTGTTTTGATTTTTTGATTTTATGTTACACCTGATCTTGAATTTTAATTCGACCAGATAGCGAAATTTTTTAGATTGGTAACGCTAGGGCTGTTCGAAATACTATTTGGCACGGTTAAGGCGGTAGCGAAACGTTAGGCAATGGTAAGTGTTTATTTATCCCCTTATTGTTTTTTTAATACATGGATTCGATTCTAATACTAACTGATTCTGTTTTCTCTCTAAATTTACATCTTTATCCCGATATGGTTAATTTAATGCATCCAGCATTTATGGCAGTAACGAAACCAGTGTTACGCCTAATACGTAACTACAGGCAAAACACCAGATTATTAATCTATTAGGTAGCAGATTGTATTTTAGCTTTAATAGAAATTAGATTACTAACAATTTACAAACTGAACATTATATCAATTTAGTTATCATAGCTATGGTTTTACGACATTACGATTTACGACATTTACGAATTAAGATATTCGATATTCTGTTGGTATGTATTTACGTATATGGCTTTGCCGTAATTAGCAGCAACTATAGATAAGGGTAATCTAAAGATCGTTAAAAATGCAATATAAATTCTTTATTATAGTTATTATAAATTATAACACACATTTCAAAATTATGGCAAATTAAATTAGTTGTTAGATAAAAATAAAAAATAAAAATTCAAGAACTGAAATGTAATGCCACATATGTAGTATATAAAAATATTTCACTTTTCATTAATTGAACTACAATCTAAATTTTTAACCAGTCTATTTATAACCTTTCCTAACCTTTTATCATATTGATCTGGAAGGTGTTGTAATAGACAATTTCGCCGTAAGGTAATATCCGTGAATGATTCTTGAGTAGATTTTTCACATAATATTTCTTTTAATATTGGGTTAGAAGGGTCGCGTTTTTTATACATATAATATATTGTACCAGGTATATATAGTTTTTGATCATGCGATTTTGATTTTAAATTTTTATAATAATTATCAATGGATTCCATTATTAATGAAAGATTGTAATTAAAATACATCTAAAAATAGATTTTGACAATCATTAGCGAAAAAAAAAGTGAATAGAGATGAAATAATAATTTATTTATTACCTTTTTATTCTTTTTATAACTACGATTCTTTACGTTTTTAGCCACAAATTTAATCAATTCTTTAAAATCAATAAAACTTCCGTAACTTAATCTAGGAATAATATCATTCTCATTAACAAAATTATCAATACAATCCATAACTTCATTTCTACACGCAATGTCAAGTGAACAACTTGGCGGGGTTGCAAAAGCCCATGCATGAATATCGATTCCTTTTTTAAGTAAATCTTTGCATTGTTTTCGTAAAATTAGAGTTACAAGACATGATACGGAAGCACCTAATGAATGCCCTATTACTTGTATTGAATTGGCTTTAAACTTGCTCACTGCAGCTCGGATGTCGTTTAAAGACTTTCTGACAAGATATTGCGCGCTACGCAGCATCCCACGATGAACAAATCCGCCGTTCCACGGCTCATAATGTGCAAGTACATCGGTGATAATATCAGTAGCATTCTAAAGAAATTTTTGTAATCAAAAAAGTCAAATAATTTGTAAATGTCAAGTACTTTGAAAAAAAAAAAAAATTAGTAAACATTACCAGTGTTCCTCGAATAGATATTATAATAGAATTTGTTTTTGGATCTCTAATTATCATGTAATTAGGTACAGAAACAGTCATTTTGCCAAATTCCCAACAAATAATATCATCTTTACTAATGCCAAAATAATCTTGAATAATTTTTCGATCAGATTTCATCCTCATAGCATCTATAGTGCAATATAATATTAATTGAGTATTGTTTTTTTTCAGCATTATCAAAATATTGAATATGATAACATACTTTTTGGAGCCATTTTATACCCATATCCAAACACATTAAACATGAAAGAACCCTGGATTAAATAATCATTGTCAATAAATAAGAATTCGACTTTGATCGGTAAATATAAGAACTTACATATGTTGCTATAGAAAATTTTAAATAATATTTGGCCTTTTTTAATTTATCAATGTTGGTAATTAGATTTCCTGTAATAAATCTATTAAATTTTATGAAATATTTGATGATTAACGATAAATCGTAATACTGTTTTTTTGATACATTAAATAAACATTACTTTGGCTTTTGATCATAATACTTTTCCAACAAAATATAAGCTTTCATAATCTCTAACTTGGTCATTTGCCATCCATGACCATGAAACCCGTAAAAAAGGGATACGAATTCTTTAATTGAGTCAGTGGTTTTCTTACTTAATATGAAATCAAATATACTAAGAGGTTTTGATTCGGGATGCACTAAGGTATTGAGATGTCCATGGCCATTAAATTCAATTCCATGATGAACTATAGATAATGTTTTAATTTGTGTGATTACTGAGCGGAGAAATATCGAAGATATAGGTGGATCATTACGAAAATGAAATCCAATATTTATTTGGACGGTACCAACTTCATAGGGATGTAATTCTTTACTCTCGAGAGGAAAAGTTCTATATATAATTAATTTAGTTGTAAATATATTATCCTAATTATATTAAAATAGGAAAATGTAATGTACCTTTCAAATCCCTCTCGATTAGATATAGCTTGTTTTAAAACATTCAATCGAATGACAGCACGTCCAAGTCTTTTCGGTTTATTTAATAGGGATCCATAGCTATAAATATCTAATTTCAAAGTATCGAAAACCAATGAATGATAATTAAAAGGAAAAAGGAACATCTTTTGTATTTGTCCTTCGAGGGAAGTATCTGGTTCTGTTTGATGAGAGGCAGATTGAGTCACAAGACGAATTGATTTCTTGACATCAGGTTTTATTTGATTTTTTGAATCAAATTCCAAAGATTTTATTCTGACAAGCATTTGGTCTATTCGAATGAATATCAATATTCAAGTTAGAAAATAGAATAAATTAAAATTTTATAAATTAATATATACCTGGAATAGCATCTTTAGATACTTTATAAATAAACAAATTAAGTTGGTTATGCAGTCATGACACATTACAATTATAGTATTGAATCACAAAATAACAAAATATCTACTCTACTTTGCATTTGATTATCTTTAGCTTGTTTTTTTGGAAGGGTTTAAAGATTAAAATATAAATAATTTAGAGATTTCGAATTTTTAAAAAATAAATGACTTCAAATGAATTGAATTTCTAAATGCAAATATACCTTGACATAATTCTGAGTTATTATCTGCTGTACCTTTATTATATTCGAGTTAAATATAATTATTACAAAGATATATAATAAGATTGTTGTAACATTTTTTTTTCGGAAAGGCAATAACATATTTATAAACTATGAAATTAATACTTACAGAAATTTTGTTCGAAAACTGAAGTTTCTGCTGTTATCATAATTGCACGTCTTTTATCTTGGAGCGTAGTTCTTTTATCCGATTTATCAATATTATAAAAACATCTGCTATTAATTTTTACATTATTCCTAGTAGAACTTTTCGAATTATTCTCAGATAATGACCATGATTCAATTGGCTTGGGTAAAAAATCTTCATTGACTGAACCATTTTCTTCAGGAAAGTAATCATCTTGGCTATATATTTCGGATAGTATATCGTTTAATATAGACATATTCACTCGATATAATTTGTTAGTATGTACATGTACGTACAAAGTCTGAAAAAAATAACTATATCCGATTTAAGAAAATTGCGGCAAAGTTTCTCTTTTAAATGGTGTCATTTGTCAATCGTGTATTTATCGACCATTTAAGTCCATGGAAATATGCATTTGAAAATTTTAAATTGAACATTTGCTGATCAATTATTTAAGTTTGAAATCCTTAATTAATCAATCAGGTCCGGATTTTCTTTGATGTTAATAAAATTAGTTAATTTTCTGATTATTGAGTTCTGAAGATCATGCCCTTTTTCATTTGTATATTGGATATGAATCGGCAAACTTCAATCAAAAATTTTCTGGGAGGTTAAATCCCATTTATTAAAAATTAAAAATCCGGTAAATTATAAATTTAAAAACCCGAAGACTGATTTTTCCCCTTGCGTTACCCATATAATAAAATAGATTTACCTGTGTCTATAAGTATACATGTGTGCCTAAATTATTTTTGAAAAAAAGTATTTTCGGCAAACATTTCGGCATTACTAAATTTTTTATATG